GAGTGTGTCGTGCAGGGCGAACCCACGAGCAATAAGTACGTTATCAGGTTCAACGGTACGGAGGCGCTTGCGCCCAAGCGTGCGGCAGAGGCCCTCGGGAATCTCAAGACCCCACGCCCTGGTGGAGGCGCGGGCCACGTGCACCGAGAGTTCAAGATCAAGTCCACGACGGGTGAGCAGACGAACGTCTTCGTCGGACCCGACAAGAGCATGTGCACCATCGCGCTCTTCAAGAAGCGCGTCCTGGGCGTCGCTTTTTCACCGACATGGCCAAGGGTGAGATTTCATCGAACTGGGGGCCACTTATCAAAATCAAGGCAGTCCGCAGAGTGACACGCCAGAGATTGCCTGGGCCCCCGCCGACATTGTGGCTGAGGGGCTGTCGCAGTCCGAGCTGGGGCCGATCGCGCAGCAGGCGATCGCGGGGCCAAGTCCAACAGTGTGGAGTTCCTAGTACACTGAGTGCCCTGTGGCACGGTTCCTCCGCCCCGCTCTCCCCCTCTGCCTCCGCGTTCGGAGTTGTGACGTGGAACGCCAGAGCTCTTTTTCATCATGACGCTGCCACCCGCGCGAGGAAAGTCAGATTCCTCCGCCGGGCCTTGCAAAAAGGTCGCATGGTGGCTCTTCAGGAGACCCGCGGGTCTGAGCCTGAGCTGACTGGTCTACCCCACCACCTCCACCTCCCGTTTAGTGCCTCCTTCTCTTTTGCCCATCCCAGTGCCTGCGATTCCCCTGCCCGTCCCAGAAGCGGAGTTGTCGCGCTCTTCCCGAAGTTTACAGCCTCGGCAGAGAGGCGTGAGAAATTCCGATGTGCGGTGCCAGTCATCTCTTCTTCCCCCCTCAGACCAGGGCGAGCCCTCCTCACGAGATTCGAGAGTGCGGAAAGTCAGTGCTGGATTAGACATTACAACGTCCACAAATTTGGTTTTTCTCGTGAAGAGCGCCAGAGATTGCTGACGGACATCAGTGAATCCCTGAACCTAGCCTCTGAGGACCCCCTTAACAAGCTCGTCTTTATCTCTGGGGACTTCAACATTCCAGCATTCGAGTCGATCCCGCTGAACCCTACCCCCGAGGCTCCCGAGGCGATGAGTCTGGAGCCCCGTCCCCTTCCTCCTGAATGGCGCTCTGCTCTTGCGGGTTCGGTTAAGTTTGAGCTGTCGACCCCCTCCCATTTCAACGCACAGACCCAGCGTCTGTCCTTCCTGGATCGTCAGTTCTCCACGCTGCCTGGCTGGATTCTCTCGCAACTCGCGACTGAGGGGGGAGGTGGTTGACGAGCCTGAATTCTCAGCGGCGGAACAGATCTCTGACCGCGCGGCGGTGGTCGTCGCGCTCCGCCTTCGCCCTGAACTCCCCGTGGGACAGCGGCCAATCCCACGAGATATGTTTGCTTCGGCCGAGTTCAAGAAGTATATGCAATTGACGCTCGATGCCGCGCCGTGCCAACATCTCTCTCCCCCTCTTCGTCTCGAATGCTATAAGATGGTTGCGTTGGAATGTGCTCGGCTAGCCCGCAACGCGATCATCCTCAAACACCCCAACTCTACCCTCTCCCTGTATTTGATAGTGCGCAGTATGGCTCGGGCTGTTTATCGCCAACAGTGGTCTCTTGCTCTCCGACTTCTTCGCCCCCATCCTCTTGGTCAAGAACATCTCCGACTCAATTACGAAACCAGAACTATATCCCTGATATCTCTTGTCCTCTTCACCCAGCTCTCGAACGCCCTGCACAGGGAGGTTGCCGCGGCCTCGTGCAAAGCGATCGCTGCTAGCGCCCGCCAGATGTCGGATCAGGCGCGGTCGGTCCGACTTTTGCGCCGTCAGCGCCGCGCGCAGAGGCATGCCCGATTGCGGTCGCCCTTTGATCGGCGAACCCCGCTCGCTGGCGCGCGTGCGCCTGCTCGAGCGGTCGCCCAGACGCCTTCTGAGGCCCCCGAAGCGCTGGCCACTCATTGGGGCCCTGTGTTCACGGACAAACCTTTTGACGAGGTGGGTGCTGAACGGTACTTGGATGCCTTTCCCCCCCAACTCCGTTGCTCCGATCTCCCCCCCCCCCCCCCCCGACCTGTTTCCCAAGTTTGTTCCCTGGTCCGGAAGCTCTAGCGTAGCGCCCCAGGCTCCGACAGGATTCCGCATGCGGTTTGGTAGCGCGCACCTGCAGGAGTGGATCTCCTACGGGGCTGCATGCAGTGGATTTTCGCGGGCAACTATATGCTGCCCGAGTGCAATGCCATCTTAGACGTCTTCATCCCGAAATCCGAGGAGCCCGACGACCAGGACTCTGGAGTTATAAGATCCCCAGGAGACGCCCGCCCTTTGGGGCCTAAAAACTGCGACAACAAACTCATTACGTCCATGGCGATCCGAGCCCTCACCCACGCCCCCCCTCTTGGCCCCCAGAGATCCCGCAGGGGGCTCGCTCCGACGCGGAATTTCGGGGAGAATATTGTTGAGCTGGGCGCTGTGAGCCGAGTCACGAGCATGGCGCCCATGGCCGAAAGGCGGTGCCCGCTTCTGATCAGCTTTGACTATGGTCAAGGTTCCCCTTCCATGTCGCAGCGCTGGATGACCCAGACTTTGAAACGGACCCGTCCTCCTGCCCCCCTTCTCGCGTTGGTTTGTCACCTCTACTGGACTGTCACGTGCCTGGGTTGTGTCGGGGGGGATCTTGGACTGATGTATTGGACCACCAGCGGGATAATTCAGGGGCGCCCAGCTAGTGGCTCTCTCTACGCTGTAGGTGCCGACCCTTGTTTGATCAAGCTTGCCTCTGTGCTCGAGGGGCTCGCTGTACCTCGGTGACTTGCCAGAGCGTGTGCGGACGATGTGGGGGCAGTTCTTTACAGTATGGTTGATCTCTACTGGGTCTACCCTGTCTTCGCTGACGCTTCCAACCTCGCCCACCTCCAGTTGATGAAAAAAATAAGCCAAATGTAACGTCGCCCCACTGCTCGGCTCGTTCGCGGAAGCGCTGGAGGCCCTCTACCGCATGCGTCTCAAGCGGAGCGTGCCCGAGTGGGCCGACTTCGCGATCGCACCCTCGGTTTTCTATCTGGCGGTTTGGATTGGTCCTGGAGTCACCCCCTACACCTCTTGGGCTAAACCCTTCGGAAAATGCTTTGCCCGCCCCCGTGAGCTCTCTCGGCAAGGCGCTGCTGCTTCTGTCTCGGCCATGCTCTATTGCTCCAGGGTTCTCTCCGTCCTCTCATATGTCGGCCAATTCCAACCCCTTCCAGCTTCCCACCTCAAGCGCGAGTTCCAATACCTTTCCAGCATCTGTAACCTTCCGTTCTGTCGCCCTACGGAAGTTGCCTGGCCGAACTTGGAAGCGCGGGGGCACCGCGCGTGCATAGCATGAACATGTTGAACATCGCCCAGCTGATGAGAGCGAGCCTTTTCACGTTGTCCAGTTGGCAGCAGGCCTATTCAGAGTTATATGATACCTGTATCGAACATCACTCAATAGTCCGTGCTGTAAGTGGGCCCCCATGGCCGAGCTTCTGGGCCCCCCCCGCCTTCGCCCCGAATTTGAAGGAGGCTGCTGCAGGATCCGGTTGCTATTCGGAGAGCGTTCGGCACGTTCAAGAATTCCGAGCATCCCGTCCTCTCTTCCCTCTCAAAGCTCTTCGCCCTCAACGTGTTCTTCTCCGCCACCTCACCACCCTGACCCTCCCAGACCAGCTCGAGGATCGCTTCCACAAGCGTCTGTCCTGGTTCCCTCGGCTCGAGAGGCAGATTCGCTCGATCGCGTGTACTGAGGTGCGAACCCAGGTCCTCCTCCTTCCTCCGGCTTGGCGCACTGCTGTAATTAAAACTTTATGCGGGGGGTGGGTCGCTGCATCGGCATTTCAAGAGAATCGAATTTGTCATGTCGGGCGCGAGGAAGTCTGCAGCTTCAGGCAATTGTGGAACTGCCCGCACTTTCTCCGCACGCTCTCGTGCGTCTGCTCCACCCCTGTCCATCCCTGTCCGATCGCTCGCCTTAGTCTCGTGATTCCCTCTCGGTCCTCTCTCACTGTCGCAGTCTATGCTTTTTTCCTGAACGACGAATGCAATCGCCACCCCCCGCCCATCTGCCCCGAGAAGGTTCGGGAGATTTCCAAGTGCACGCGCGCGCAGGTCGCAAGGCCGACAGCGCGAGCATGAAGGAGAAAACCCAAGGGCTCATCTTAGCTACGCTAGAGGATGGATGCGATCATGAGGAGGGATGTGCGGAGGAGGGGGAGGAGGAACAGAGCAGGAAAAGAGGTGGAAAAGAGAAAGAGAGGGGTGGACAAGAGAAGGAGGAGGACGAGGAGCAGGAGGAGGCGGAGGAGGAGGAGGCGGAGCAGGAGGGGCCGCAATCCGTGAAACGCTTGCAATTGTTTAAAACGAATGTGCGCGGCGCGAAGGCGAGAGCCACATTTTGAAAACCATCCGCTTTCACTCCGTGAAACTTTTGCCAACTGGCAAAAAGAATGTGCGCGGCGCGAAGGCGCATTTTGTAAACGACCCGCCCTCGATCCGGGAAGCGCTTGCACATTTTTTAAACGAGTGCGCGCGGCGCTTAGGCGAGGGCCACATGTTGAAAACGACCCGCCCTCCATCTGCGAAGCTGTTGCCACTTTTTAAGTTTCAGAGTTATAAGTGTTGGGGAAGTCTCAGGCGAAACGCCTAGCCCACCCGAAAAATTTGCCTCGGGGTGCGACAGGGAGGAGTTATCAATAAGGAGAAGGAATGGAGGAGGAGGAGGAGGAGGAGGAGGAGGAGGAGGAGGAGGAGGAGGAGGAGGAGGAGGAGGAGGAGGAGGAGGAGGAGGAGGAGGAGGAGGAGGAGGAGGAGGAGGAGGAGGGGGAGGGGGAGGAGGGGAGGGGGAGGAGGAGGAGGAGGAGGACGAGGAGGAGGGAGGAGGAGGAGGAGGAGGAGGAGGAGGCTGAGCAGGAGGAGGGGCCTCCACTGGACGTGCACGCGCTCCCGCCGCGCAGCCTCGGCACGCCTTGCCCGCGCGCGCAGGCCGT